TTGATCACCATCTCGAAAGTTATATGGACTTGAATCATAGACTAATCGTGCTGGCACATTGAACCAATGAAGTATAGATTTTGGTTCGAGGTGGAAAGTGTGGGCTTAAATGGCTTGTATCTTGTCGTGAATTTTATGTGTTCTAATTGTCTGTGGGGGATCATTAACGTAATGAAAACTGGTAGATGCGTTTGTAACCAAGAATATGGGACTTAGCACGTTATGTGTGTTTAACAAAAGGCAAACTTATGAAGAATAATGTATGAACAATTGTTGTTCTTTCTACTTATGTTCCTTTTCTTCTGGTGCACCAGGTTTGTCAAGCATAAACATTACCCTTCCTAACAAACACTCTGAGCTATAGGTGGTGGATTAAGTTTCCACCTAATTCCCGAGTCATTGATTTGCATCACAGCTGATCAGGGACATGACGGATGCCAGTCTAGATGATCCGTTGTCTGACCAGTATAAAAGGGAGAACATAACAAAAAATGAGATACTAACTACAAAATTCATTTTATGCACTATAAAGAGACATAATAGAAAATGAGATATTAACTACAATTTCACTTTGTACACTATAAAGAGACATAATAGAAAATGAGATACCTGCAAACCCACGATTGGTCTCCTACTTATTGCCTACTCGATCACATGTAACATAGTGGTGTCCCTCGTAGAAGTAATTTAATTTGATTTTGACGAATTTGCATTTATATCTTCCTCTAGCTATACCTAGGTAATAGGTTCTTGAATGCATGCTAAGTACTTCTCAGAAGCTAATGAAGTACACAATGATGGAAAGTGGAAACTAAAGGAACTATAACTTACGAACACAAATTTCACTTCTATCACCACTTCATAAGAAAGTGGAACAAAACAACACATAACAAATAGAATATGTCACTGCCTAATATCTATAAGTTCTTTAGCATGATGAAATATACAAAATTCGTTATCCGTACATATCTCTAAATACCAAAGATGTAAGAATCATAAAAGTTACTTTTAAGGCGCAACATATGTACATCATGAAACAGGATAACCAGATTATAATGTACATCATATATAATTATACCAGTTAATCAGACAAGATATAATTTATTTCTTATCAATGTGCAATGTCATAGACTCATAGGTATTAGAAATAAGAGAGCTACAACAGTAACAAGCCTTTATGCTAAATTTTTGTGATTGGTTACTTTTATGTACTTATTTATTTGTTTGTTTTGAGTAGAGTGGCAAAAGTTACAACATTCATTGACTAAGGTAATTGCAAAGGAGCAGGAGAGGAAGAAAGAGCAGTAGGATGTTGGGATCTTCTACACATTGATATCAGAATACACTTAATCCAACACATTAATGATGTGCTTAAAGCAATACTCTGGGTCCATTGGATTCTAGAATAAAGACTCAAGTCATTGCATTTTCTCTAGGTGCGACAATTTCAACACGAGCAGTAACTTGATAAAAAAATTAGCAGGCATGAATCATGTAAAATCTTGTATAAGTAGTGTCTAACGGTGTGAATATTCACTTAATTCGCATAAAAGCCAAATTTCGATCCAAGTCGTAGAACCCGTATTTCAATACGCAACAAATACATAAATTCAACCATACTATGAATTTCTACAATAGACATTACCAAAAAAATCTAACGTAATGAAAAATGTACATGTTCATCTAAAATCTCAGTAAAGATGACGAAGAAAATTATAAATGTTGGAGAAAATTATAAATTTCAGGAAACCATCAATCCTAGGTCGCCGGAACAAAAATGTCGGATCAAGATGCAAGAAAGGCACGAATTCACGCTATAAAATTTGAAATCATAAATTTTAGGAAACCATCAATCCTAGGTTGCTGGAACAAAAATGTTGGATCAAGATGCAAGAAAGGCACAGATTCACGCTATAAAATTCAAAATCGAGGAAAACCCTAGTCTAAAAACCGAAGTCCCAAAATTCTCAATCCACCTTCAAGCATGATATGAATTTCTATAGAAACATAAAAGGAAGAGAGCTGATATCGATAGCAGTAGGTACAGAAGGCCATAAAAATTTAAAATTTTTAGTTATTTATAACCAAGAATATGGGAAATTGCCCTAGTTGAAGCACACCAAATTAAAATAGGAGTAGAGATTATTAGGGTTAAGTTAATGTTTTAAATGTCGGATGTCAGATTCATGTAGGACGGCTAAAATCCATGTCAGATAGAGAAAATCGGGGATATATCGGGGGACATGGACTAAATATCGGATTGTCATATCGGGTGGTGTGCATATGATAATATCATATCCTAAATGTAATCTAAATATTCCTAAATTCAATATAAGCATACTGTATAAATTTTAGAGACGGCGACGATAATGGGTGGATTCCGACGTCGCAGGGAGGCAGTGTCGGCGATGGGACGTCGCAAGGAGACAGTGCCGGGGCTCTTCTTCTTCGTCTGTTCGGGATTCTTCGGATGAGTCACCGACCACCCTCTTCACTTTATCCCGACGACGGGATATCTTACCGCCCTCGGGTTCGATTGAGGTTCGGATTTCGGGGCGCAACGTAAGATGGACGACGGGGAGCCGAGATGGAGGTGGAGGAAGGGCGTCGTCGTTCACGAAAGGAGTGATAGGTTCCTAAGTCCGCTGCGGTCCTAATTTTTTTCTTTTCTTTCTATCGGGTTCATAAGAAACCCTTAAACATGAGAACGGGTCAAACGAGTTTGGGTTTTTATCACTAAACCCAAACCCGATAATAAAAAATAGATCTAAAAAAAAGGACCATATCGGCTGATTTTTCAAAGCTGAAAAATCGGCCAATATACCCAATATGGCATCGATTTTCCGATTTGACCCTGAAAACCGACATACGAATTGAAAATGCCCATGTCATGTCGCTCAAGCCCTCAAACCGACATGTCGGTCGACATGTCCGACATGTCGGTCGACATGTCCGACATGTCGGTCGACATGTCCGACATGTCGGTCGACATTTAAAACCTTGGGTTAAGTTTTAGGGGAAACGTGGCCCGTGGGCATCGGCAGTGACGAGTTGACAGCAAAGAAGCGACAACAATGTTGGGTGAGGAAGAGGAAAAAGGAGATAACAAGAGGAGAAAGAAAGGGGAAGGCTGGATCTTTTTTATAGTGAGACGAGGTGGAAGTAAGGGAAATAGGATAGCTGTTATAGGAGAACACAACTGTCTATAAAACTCATCTTACTCAACCAGGAGGGTTGAGTCGGAATTTCCTCCTTAGCAGGATGACACAAACCAACATGAACAAGCAGGTGATCGTATGCTTTTTTATATGTAGAGAGTAGAGTATGAAATGTTTGTACTCAGATAGCCTTTTAAAAGTTATAAGCACCTCTTGTCTTGAAGAGTCGCACATGAAACTTGGAATATTGGTACAGTTGTAATTGCTATGACATGTATTATTTAATTATGATTTGTTTGCTTCTCTCATGAAAATTTCATATTATATTTTTTCCATTGGCTATATTAGCATGAAATTTAAAGATATGATTTACCTTATTTCACTGTCTTTGTGGAGTCGTGAGTTGATTGTTCTTGATCATACAATGTTTGACATTTACTTTTATCATTGTAAGCTATACATGATTATGAATTTTTACTAAATGATATTTTGAATCATATGACACATGGTACATTATTGTTGGTTAGCAACATGCGCCTAAAAATTGAGCAAGTTACATACCTATCAAGGGTTATGACTGGCAAATCGCCATTGCAGGCAGTTTGGACAAGACAGATCGTTGCTATGGGCATTCTAAAAAAGATATTATGAGATAGAAAAGTCATCGATGTATGCAGTCCAGGCTAAACAAATCGTCATTGTAGGCAATTTGGTTTAGGTTATGATGTAAAAGATACTATCACTATATTCAACATTTTTAGATAGAGCATTGTTGTAGGCAATCTAGTTGTTAAGACAAAGCAGACATTGCTTAATTTATGTGCATAAAAATGATTTGAAAAATATTTCATGTTATTATAAACTCCTCATTTGGATAGTATTTACAAACACATTATTCCAAATGTACGTGTTGTGCTTTGTTACATGCATGAGTCGATTTACATAAATTATTGCATTTGTATCACTTTTTAAGAATATGGAAAGCTCATTGAAAAATAAACAATATTGTAAACAATGTTGAAAATAACAGTAACATATAATGTGACACTTATAAAGTTTGGGGCTAATTATCTCAAAACGGGCCTGTTTTAGGGGGATTATGTGAAATTTATCCTTTTATAATCGAATTTCAAATTTGTCTTGTTTGGGGCATGATTGTCATTGTTTCCATGTCATATCTTACCCGTATTTGTATGCATGCTTTATAGGCAATGCCTCCCTGCACCTCTCTCTCTCTCTCACTCACAGAGACACCCACACACACTTGCATACACACTCATGCATGCACACACAGGCACACACATGCATATTAGATTTTAACTTATGAAATCCTGTTAGTGTCTTATCTAGAAGCCTTGAACAGTGACAATTCAAAACCTATTACATAACAATTTACATCCAATATGCATCCCATATACAGTTGCATGTTCTGCGCATGCAGTCATGCACTCCATGCGTGCGCACGCATAGAACAGATTTTACACCTTCCCTATAATCTTATTCGAGTCTTATTGAAGCCTTAAACAATGACAACTCAGAACCTCTTAAACCAACAAGTTGCATCCAACATGCTGGCTTTCTGCATTTAGGGGATCCGAAATACCCACTTATGCATCATTGCATCTTGAACATAATTTGAGAAGTTAAGAGTGTTGGTCATGGTGTAAGTTTGACCAGGTAGCTTTATCTATGCTTTTTTACTTGGATAAATTACACTGATTGCATATGGTTTAGTTTACTAGTTCATGGGTGTAATTATTTATTTAATCCATAATCTGTTTCTGAACTTCTTGTTTCTTATAGTGTCGTCTTGATGTTGACTGGCTTCTGCTTAAATTGCAGATTCCTTTGATGAATTAGAAACTTATCAGCAGATGCTAATTGGAGTATATTTTTAGCTTTCAAAACATAATATAGATCTGACATGCATTATCCTGGGAGAGAGAAGTGTGTCTTAAACTCATCAGTGAGAATTGAAACACATGACATGTTACTTCTGATTTCAGTTTGCTTCATAGCAATGTGGTTGGCTATGTACTGCTTCTGAGGAGAGTGCTTTTCCTTCTAAAGAAAAGGACTATTCAGCAATCTGATAATTTGAGGTATGACATTCTTCTCATTCAGCAGATACGTGGAATAATATGGACGGATGAAACAATTTTATATGTTCGTTTAAGAATATGAGTTAATTGTTTACATTGGAAACTTTCTGCAGAAATTGAGTTTTACAGTTTAAACGGAATTCGAGTGTATGGTGTTATTACAAAAGGTAAATTTCTCATCTGCTTTACCTAAATGTGGACCACAGTTTGGTACACATTTCTTTAGCTGATATGAAGTTTTCATTGAACCTGTAAACAGAATGAACTTGGGCATGGTTCACTCATGAATCTTTTAATCGAAATAGGCGATCAGTTTCCTACTTTTTTTTAACTAGAATTTTTATCTACAAACTGAAGTAAACATAGTGATGAAAGATTTAATCCTATTCGTCTCTTAACCAAGTATAATATGTTCAAGCACAATCAGCCTCTAATAGTTATGCTGCCACTATTTGAGGTTTCAATATACAAGGGATACACGTGAACATGGCCTGGACTTGTCCTTGTTCGTCTTTAGACCTAGTAGAATATGTACACCAAGTCACCCCTTTACATGGGAGTAGCCTCCTGTTGGATAACTCTCTCCATTGTTAACATTTAATGATTTTTATATAGTACCTCATTCCTTCTTGCCTCCAATTCAAAATCTCAAAGAATTATTGAGAATAGATGCACCAATTATTTCAATGAAAATCTCTCCGTGGGTAATTGAACATGAGGGATACCAAGGCTGCCTATTGTCCCCACCTTCACAATTAGAGGACTTCTCTTATATTTGATTTTGAGGCCTGAACATAGTTGAAACCAATGAAATAGTGAAGGATCTATTTCATCACAATAACCTGTCCCAGATGGTACTCCTTAGGAAAAATGCCACCAATAATGCATTGTGCCATACCATAGGCTGCAGGTTGGATTTGAATTCTTTCTTTATTCCTAGCTCTAACCTTTTGAAAGACCTTGGGCCCTGCATCCTCTTAAGTAACGATTGCTGGGCTTATGCACCAAAGCCAATGGAAGAGATGATAAAGGATCTCGATTGTTTCAGGCTTTGCATACAAGGGATCTTTTTATACTTGGTTTCCTTTATCATAGTGTTGCCAGCATACTCCCTTTTTTTTTGTCTTGTCTGGCACTTGGTACAGGATTGGACACCTATATCCTAATCCTATGATAGACACTTCTTATCTGATAGGGGCCAAAAAAAAAAACACTAGGATTTTAAGGAATGGAATGATTTAGAAGCAATGCCAAGAATGAGTTTATAAGGGAGGAATATTAAAGTGTTAACAAATTTAATATTACTATCAAATGTCATCCCAACCTATGTCATACTTTTTTAACTATGTCAATTTCATGAGATAGGTTAATACGCAATACCAAATAGGATCAATAATATTACATAACACTGTATATTTGTGTGTATGTGCGTGCATGAGGGCTTGTAGGAGGTCGCATGCATGTGGGAGTGTTTGTTCTCATACTTAAAGATGCCGCATTGGATACTTAGGGCACTTGGACACTTGAGGCCCGTATTATTGACTTATTTTCTGTAGAAATAGTTAGGCTAACACTAGTCAGATGGTGGCTCAACCAATTCATTTTGATTCCTGTTTCCAAGTATGTTCACTTATTCAGTGCGCATACTGTTCAACTTTACAATATGCTTTTTCAAAGTGAATTTAAGATATGGCCTTTTGAAGTGTCATCAGTGAAGTCCTGTTTGAAGAATGTTTGTGAGCATATTGATCAACTTAACAATAGGCTTTTCTGAAATGAATTTTAAAATCTACCCTTATTTAATTCTCTTACAGTATTTGAAAAAGACTAATGATAACCCCACAAGGTTTTCTTTCATAGTTTCTGAGAGTCTGCAAAAGAAAGGTCCATCCTTATACTAAATGTTATTAAACACTAAAGAGATGGCTCTTTTAGCAAAACACTGGATTTTCTGCTATTTAAGGTAAATGCTACTATTTTAAAAGAAATATTTTTTCTGCTTCAGAATTATGGGTTGGTTGGGATTAAGCACATTTGTCTTAACAACAACAACAATGCTTTACACCAAATTTTGGGGTTGGCTATTAGACACACCAATTGACATGTATTATTGCATAAAAGGGCTATTTTCATGTATTTTTATGCAGATGAAAGGTATGATGCATATTAAATCTTTTCTTAGTAAACTAAATGGTGACAACTGTTTGTGTGCCAAGAACATCTATAAGAAATTGAATATGACAGAGATGATTATGTCATTATGATATGTATTCAAAGAAGGCAACCTTAATGCTTTATGTAAAAATAGTAGCAATAGTAAATAAACCCAGCACCCATAAAAAAACAAGAGAAAGAAGCAAAGAGAAAATAAACAGAGAAGACCTTGTGCCAGTCATATATTTATATTTTTATTTTAGACATGAACTTAATGTTGGCTAGGGATAATACAATTGGTTAGATTTATGCAGTAAATGCATTGTCTTAAACAATTAAAACGATAACTCTGCCAGCAAACTATGATGAGTGAGCTTATATATGAGAATTACTGAAATTTTTAAGAAAACTCTCTTTTTAAGGACTTCTGATTATATTGAGAAAAGTTGGTTTAACGCATTTTAAATACATCATTGTTTATGGGACTTCATATCTATTTATCGTCAGTTCTAAGATAGGTGTTGTATTTGTCTATTCTGGATCACTTGTTGAAATCAACTAGGACCTTTTAGTTTTTCAGTAGTAAACTGTGTTACACGGGTGTGGGTATGAGACACGGAAGGTGTGTCTCTGTGTGTGTGTATATATATAATTGATGGACATGAGGTGACAGCTTATTTAGCAAAATGAACTACTAAAGATAGAAGAGGTGAGACCCACACCTTACACACACACATACATACATACATACATATATATATATATATATATATATATATATATATATATATATATATATATATATATATATATACACACACACACACATTATATATATACACATATATGAACAATATGGAGGAACTTGGTACCAAGCACAAGTTTTTGTGTTTCGTAATGAGTTGGTTCATTCTCATCCATTCATTCAAATGGGGGACCACATTCACATGGGTCGAAGAGTGGATGAGAATGAAATGTCTCACTACCAAGCACAAAATTTGTGCTTAGTACCAAGTTCCTATATTTTTCTTTACATATATATGTATATATATCCACTTGAGTGGATAGAAGCTTTTGTCCACACAATTTTATAGCCATTGGATATACTAGATGGATTCAAATCTCATACGCAGTGTTTTCAAAGGCGCGCCTCACTACACCTCATGCTCCTTGTGATGCAGGACGGTGGCTAAGCGCCCCGCATCTGCTGTAGTAGCGCCTTTTTGCGCCTCGCATGCATCCTAACTTTGCGCAGGGTGCATGTAGTACATATCCTCATATAGTTTTATTTGTTAATATTTCTATCGAGTCTTTATACTTGATAATCCATATCCTAAAAAATAAAATAAATTCATTAGGCCTGTTTAGTAGCCTTCAAATGAGAACCATTACTAATCGTTTACTTGGATATTAGTCTTGATTTGACATTTGATTTGAAATTTTATGAATTTTGCTACTATGTTGGGTGTTAGTATTAGAAATTAAGGTCTTATATTGTGGTTTTGTAGTAAGATATTATTTATCCTGACATATTTTTTATGTAAATTCCTAAACATGTTCTTTCGTATTTGATTATATATATTAAAAAATTATATGTGCGGTGTGTGTCTTGCATCACTCGAATGCACACATCGCGTTGCGCCTTGTGCATGTGCGCATAAAGATGTTTTGCGCCCTGCATTGCGCCTCATGCATTGACAACACTGCTCATACGATGATGTGACTTCCATTTATTGAGGAAGGTCATTTTGGGAACAAAATGAAACTTAAAAAAAGAGAAAAAAATGTCACACGCCGTTATATCTGACCAAAAACCAATTGCCATTTTTATTTCTTCTTCTCAGCATCAGAGAAAAGATGTGTTCTCTTCCTCCCTTGATCACGATGACAACTTTCCTCTCCTAAAATCAGCATTCCTTCCTCTCCTTCACAAGCGATTCCCCACATAGCCTCTTTACTGTCCACGCGCGCCACATGGTTCGCTGGGGAACCTAGTGCTCCAACAATGTAGACGGTTGCTGTAGAAAATCAAGGAACAAAATATTAGTAGCTAATAAAGACTTTTCCTAAGTAATTTTCCCTTCTCCTCCATACAATGTGACAAATTTCTTGACTACAAAGACTTAAGAAGTTGTAATCAGTGTTTAGTTCGCCATTGAATTGACCATGACTGTCATCATTTCCTTCTGGTTTCCTCCACTGAGGTTGACTATCGTCATAATGGGCACGATTAATCGTCCAAATCTAATTGGTTTTAGCACATTTTCAATTACTTTGGGGCTATGGTTATGTCTTATAATATCAATCAAGCACCAAGGTTTACTTCAGAAGGGGTTAATTTGTCAACGATTAATCTAGAAGCATATAATATGGGGTTACATAACGAAAAGGAGATCAAATCACGAACCCTTAATACTAATTATATTAGGGTCCATACAATTCTGGCTAGAGTGATGAGGGAAGATAGAGAAAGCGATATTGATTTTGTTTTATTTCATTGCCGCTGAGAAGTCGAAGGAAGGAATTGATTTGTTTCCCGCTGCGGAGAAATCAGAGAGGCGATTCAAATTTTTTCCTTTCTTATTTTTGCATTTAAGTTTTTTCGCAATAGTACCATTTATCAATTATAGGTGTCACATCATCTTGTGAGATTTGGATCCATCATGTAAGTTTAATGGTTATAAAACTGGGTGGATAAAAACTTCTATCCACTTAAGTGGATAGTAGCTACATACATACATACATATTTGATGGTTATGAGGTGGTGGCCAAAATGAGCTACCAAGAGATAGAGGAGGTGTGACCCACACCTTTTGATATGACAAGTATGGTGGGTTTCACCATATGTGATTATCTCTTGGTAGCTCATTTATTAAAATTAGCCACCACCTCCATAGCCCATTATATAATATATATATATATATATATATATAATATATATATATATATATATATATATATATAATATATATATGAGATAATGGGTACATTGTCAAGGAGGGAAATGTTTCGGGCTCATTGATAATTAATGTGTACAATGCCCCATGATGGAAATAAAGTAGAGAGAGAAATCCCCACCATGGGGATTGGTGCCATACATCAGTTGTCAGGAGAGAAATCAACTCCTTGACAAAAGATACCCATTAATATCTCTCTCTCGTCGATCTCTCTCTCTTCATATATTATATATATATATATATATATATATATAATATATATATATATATATGCTTCTAAGAGGTCCTACCTCTGATAGAATTTAAGGATGCATGCACCTTCAAAATTATGTTATATGCAATCCATTTCCTTGATCCACTCTGGTTCATTTTGATCTATATATTTTGGATGGTTTATAAATAAAAAATTAGGCATATTAGATTGTAGTTACTAATGCATCAAATGATTGTAAAATTAACGGTTTTATGATAATACAATTACAGTGATAATGAAAAATATGTGTTAGAAGTATTAAAACATCATGATTTTTATTTTATAGATGTTTTAAGACATTTAGATCATAGTGAATGGAGCAGATCGTCCATTGAAATAGCGCAATCCATACATCGAGAGGTGCATCCTTAGATTCAATCTAAGGTGGCTCCTTAGAATCATATTTCCCATATATATACACACACCAAGCACAGTATGGGTGCTTGGTAGTGACATGTATGCTTCTCATTCACTCATTTAAAGGTACCTATTTAAAAATAGTTCCCACTTGATTAGTCACCATTAGGTGAGTGGATGAGAAGTGGTCACATCACTACCAATCATCAAATTTGGTGCTTGGCACCAAGCATACCCCTTATTCTTTCTCTCTCTACACGCATGCATTGAAGTTAATAATTTACATGATATTTACTTTGTTTCTTCATTGACATGGTATAAAACTTCAATAATACTATAATGTTTTATTTTTCATTTATTAAGTAGACTATAAATTGGATAACTGACTGTTTTTGAACTAGATACTTAAATGCTCTTTTTAGATCATACTTTTTAACTAGGTACGGGCTGCAAAAGACCAGACTCGTGTCTAGCGAGTTGTAGGAATTGTGTGTAAGGCGTAAGATATACATCCAAGATGTGCCTGACGAGTGTTTTAAACTAAACATGTTTTATATAATTGAAGACATGTCTGAATAGATGAATGCATATTCGAGGAGCGTCGGACACGGGTATAGTAACCCATATGAGGTATCGGGGTAACTTAGCGAGTAAATCATCTCCGGAATTGTTAGATTCCCGTGAATCTAAATGTACAATTAGATGGACAAATTAGACTGATAGGTTATAGAACTTGGTTGAGTGATGGATTTTATGTTGCTACAGTTTGATGTTTCTGAAGTCGCTATGGTTTTTGTGTCACTTACTGAAGGGATAATAATTATCTTTTCTTCACCACTATCGAGTTTTATGGAGGATCTTGATGATGAATAATATGCATAACGAAATCAGAGTCTTGTGTGTTGTCTGTGGTTAGCTTGACTATTCATGCCAAGAGTGCATAAACATGATGGTGAAGATGAGTAATGACAAATGGAAATTTATGTATGTTGCGAATCGCTGGTTGGTGTAGAGTCTGTACTATGGATCGAGTACCGTAAGATGCAAGGTAGAACAGGGTGATCAGCTAAATAACAAGAGAATGTTCATCAAGCAAAGTAATAGGCAGTGCTCACCCTCATCATTTCTAAAAGTTAGATACTTCTATATTATCTACTTTTGAGGTGTCTCGTTAATATTGTGTGTTTCTTTTGTTTTCTAGTATCTCATTGTTATTATATATGGTCATGAAGTATGAAATTACATTACTCCTATGCACTAATATCTTGGTTAATTGTTCTTCTTTTGACTTACCTTGTTCAAGATGTGTGATAAATATTTAACATATCCGGAGACATATATTGGGTGTGTCTAGGTACAATGTATCACTTGGTTAAATGTACATAATGCTAAATAGATATATTTGATGAGTAATTATCTTATCAGAACACCAGACACAGGTTGACATGGTTTATGTAGGACGATGATTAAATTAGGAAGTGGATCCAACTCTAGTACCATCAACAGCACTCTTTATGAGCTCTTCAGCTACTCATAAAGATAACTACTCATCAAATATATCTAGGTTAGTTGTACTCACTAATATGAACATCTGCCATGCAAGAAAATTTTCCAGGAGGTTAACTGTTCTGCTTAGATTTTTCTACTTGGATATAGATTTCTATTTTCTTTAGCCAGCTTTCGAGGCATTAGTACAGTTACATTAAGCTACAGTCGAAACAGTTAAGTCAGAGGTTCTGAAAGGATCTTCAGAAAAGGCATAAGCATGCTCAAAGCCCAATGATGATACAAAATTTAATACCTTGTGATGCAGCTGTTGCTGCACTCCGTTGTCCTCTTGAGTTAATAAGTTGCCAATTATGGTAGGTAGTCACGGGACCATATTGATCTCTATGCGTATACAAATGCTCAGTATCTGTATGGGTCTCTCCCTTTGCTGCCTGCTGCTGCTCCATATTTAATGCGGAGGAAGCATTTAATAGTTACTATGGGTAACCACATGAATCTTGTGTTTATCTGTTGACAATAGATCTCTGCTAGATGGGCCCAGTAAGGGACCCTTGCATGGTATGACTGATATGGCATGTTTTTTGTTTCAGTGTAAATTATGCATTTATGTGGTAGTTATTGTACTAAGATTGTTTGACATACTTTGTTGACCCATAATGGTTCTCCGTCATAGTGACCAAAGCGCCATATCTCTAGGATCCTAAGATTCAAACATCATAATCGATGACCGAAATATTTTTACATTTAGTGATTATTCCTGAGCGAGGTATTTTTCATAGAGTCCACATGCCCATACGCGGTAAGATTGGTTGATTCACATTGTTGGCCCACAATATATTCATGGAGCATTTGGTTGTAGTGATTATGCTTTCTACACTTAAGTTGATTAGGTGCCGAGGTCCCATGTTCACGTTCTTTTTTCTAGGTTCAACTAGTTGCTTCCACGTAAATCTCCGTATAGCAGTACATGAATTTGTAATATCTTGCTACCTCGTTTATTCAATTCATCTGTTTATTGAAAGCAACGGAAAGCATTCAATTCCTTATCCATTCTTCCTACTATTATTGCAGGTTTTAAAGGTAAAATTCCCTTATAACTGCCTCCTTTCTAGGGTTTGGTGGAGCCTTCTTTGTGATTTAAAGAATAAGGTTAGTTGTACTCACTAATATGAACACCACATGGCCCACCATATCAAATGACCTGTCCCTTTATGAATTAAATATGTTCTTATGTGATGGTTAGGACAAAGTCACGTGCCGCACATGTTATTGATGGACGCGTAGACACAGGAGTAAATGGTTTGCCTTCTTGCTGAAATATTGGTATGTTTGTTGTAACTTTGTATTTTACGAGCTAATAATTAAGCAATGGTTACAATTTCACGTATTGCCATGTTATGTAAAGCTTATTAATTCTGTAAATTCACCCGTACCTGTAGTTATTTTAAGTTTTTTCTATAACTAAGTTATTTTGACCTTTTCAGATCAGTTATGTATCTTTTTATACATACTATCCCTTTTTGTTAAAGCTCTCACTAGTCAATACAAATATCATCTTTTGTGCTAAACAAATTAACTATGTATAAGTTTTTCCCTGACCTCTAAATGGGTAATTGTACTGTGCCTAGGCATTATTATGAAATTTAGCTATCATGTCTAATTGCTCATGTGAACTATAGACAATGTTTTAGAAACCGCTAGGTACTTTTGTGCATCGGCCATAGCGCCCAGGCGCCTTGACGGGTGCCTAAGCGACACGTAGGATTTTTTATCTGAGAGAGGAAGGATTTTTTTCCTTAGATTCACGATCCCATCCTTGCCGTTTTATCTAAGATGAACTTGGATTGACTTCTGATCTAATCCAAGCTGACTCGTTCTCTTCGCTTGTTGTTATTAGCGGGAAATAATCACCTTTTGGCTCAATGAGTCCACATAAGCGGCCCATGTTCACATAGGCACTCTCAAGAATTGAGTGGGCAGCGTAAGTACCAGTTAGGCCTAAGTGGGCGCTGAGTCCGCTTTTTAAAACAATGCATATAGAAATATATTGTTGAGCATTACATGTGCTCATGCAATAAGAATGCTTATCATGCAATAAGAATGCTTATCATGCATTGCTTGTTATTTGAGTACAATGGATAAGGTAACTAGCATCTTCTTTCTTGGTGCCATATTTTAGTTATATGAGTTCGGGGCTCTTGTATCTCTCTTAAATGTTACTAGCATTCTGGTGCATGTGATGCATGCATGGCACAACGTGGGAGAGGTGCGATCAAATTATCAAGGGAACGGATGGCTTGCTTCTTTTTTTTCAAAGACATTCGCTGATTTTCCAAGAGTAAGATCATGTCTGTTGTCTTTTCTTAGTGTGGGAACATTTCCATTAATGTTTCCAAGAGTGAGGGCATTGATGTTAAATTTCCAAGTGCGAGGCATTTCCATTGAGTTTTGCACATGTGAGGGCATTTCCTTTGATTTTTCAAAGTGTGAGGACATTTCCAGAATTTCAAAAATGTGACGACAGGAAGAACACCGAAACCAAAAGGGGATATTTTTTTAAATATATAGTGCAGATGTAGTTAAAGCTTAAATTGAGGCTGTTTTAGGGCACTAGATATGGATTGTTGATTAGCGAGCAGAATCATAACAGATGAGCATGTCACCACAGATACGCGATTAGTGGTGCATTATTACTAAAAAGATTATAAGACATTGGAATAGAGTGCTCTTATCAGTTTGGACTTAGTTACTGCATACTTGTAAAGTTATAGAGAAGCTATCATTATGTACGCCAACTGAACCAACATGGTAGTATCGGATTTTCGAGTGAGCTATATGTATGTCAACTAAACCAACATGGTAGCAGGTGATTTTTCCAACACATGCATGTCTACACCTATCATGATAGGGCTCTTGATGCCATCTTGTACCTCAGAGAAGATATCGGAGAACATATTTCTAACAATGTAATATGCACAAACTCTCTGATACACATCAGACTTCTGATTAATTCGTTTGACATTTTAAATCGTATAACCTTTGATGCTGGGTTTAAGGATGAGTAAACTACAGTCCAAGGTGCGGATTGTCTGGTTGGATGGTCCAACATATGATTTTGGTAGGTATAAATAGACTCTTATGCTGCATATTGTGTACTGCCTCCTGGATAAATGAATCAGTTTAAAGCTGCAAATTGAATTGATATCATTAGTTTTGACATCTGTCGAGATGCTTAATGAACGAACTGTCAGATATACTGTTGAATTAGAAAGCGAGTCATGCAACCAGCAATGCATCCGCATAAATGTTTGCAGATCATTATACTCCGAATTGTATCCAAACTTCTTGTTTCCGCGCAATTGATTATTTCTCCTGGAAAGATTATGTTTTGATTTATGCTAATCACATTTACGTGGATCAAGATTGCATCTAAATTTATTCCTTCCAAAGAAATTAATTACTTCACTATGGAATGAATAAATCTGGAGAATAATCAGACATCCCGATTATGACACAAGAGGGCAGGCACTAAGAAAGATAACCATTAAAGGCCGGTTGTGCGTGAGACCACTGTTGGGCTGCTTCATTGTAGCTAGTGATACCCAATTAAACTAATGACTGAAACCAATATAGTTAAGCGTGCTTTAGGTTGGTTCTTCAGTTCAAATGCAGCTGTAATCAACCATCCTTCTACACTAGAGGAAGTGTTTAGAGAAAAGTGAAGGCAACGTGGGAAAAATAGAAAAAGAAATGGTTGCTTTAGGGAAGGCAGGGGACTACCCAATCATAGGGGAGGAGATGGACATGTACCTTTTGTCTACCAAACTCCGACAGATCGGCATAAATCAAGGGCCAAGACCAAGGCTCTTTGGCTTCTAGTTTGGAGAAGCCAGACCAAAGGTTGATTATTTTAGTGATCCCTTGATTAAAGAGTAGGAGTCTCAGCTGAAAGCATGGATCTAAGGGAATTTACTTGGGAAGTGGACAGTAAGTTAAAATATATCCAGAGTCCCAACCCTTAATGAGCTGGAATCCATGGGGAGTGTAGAATCCAAGCATATCAAGCAAAGCACCATGTGTTTCTTAGATATTGAGGATTTTGGCATTTTAGCAATATTTTTTTAGTGAGAGAAATGCTTTGAAGCAGAGTTCTATACATCTTAATGTGGAGTGTTTAACTTCGATTACAGCTGTATAATACTTTGGTCGGACTGCTGTCGGGAGCATGGCCATGTCTAACGACCATTGGGTTGGTGGGCCTACAATCTCAGGCATAGTCTGATTGTTTTGGTGGATTTTGTTTGGAGATTCTGCAAGGAGATCTTATTTTTTTAGAGCTGTTGCGACACTCTGTGAGACTCCATAAATCAGAATAATGTTGGATTATGTATGATTCTAAGAAATGAGTCCATAATAATATAAAGATAGCATTTAAGTTTGGTCTTTCTATTATAACAAAAATGCTTATATAACCAAACCACATATTTTTAGTAGTCTACCTATGACCTTTCATATTACATTCATCTAGTTGTTGGCTTTAGGGTTAGGTTTGATACACAATGCTCCTGTTATGGTGATAATCTTGTTAGCATCTATACAGCAGAAATTGTACAAAATATGAATGAAATTTCTGATCATGTTTCATGACCCAATAAATCTAGTGTGATAGCAAGAGCAATGCTTTTTCCATCATTCTTCTCCTACTTGAAGTATAACTCCAAAGCAATGTTGAAAATAAAAATGAACAAAATTAAAATGGAAAACCTAATTGTTTGATCCATTATGAAATTGCAGGCTATATTAAATTGTCCACTTTCTTTTATGTAACAGATTCCAATTACTCGTGTTTCCTTTAGCTATCACAGCGTGGTGGCGTACTGTTTAGAATTGAGAAATTTTACTTTAGTCACTTTCTCAAGGAACATGAATTCAAGAATGTAACGACTCCTATTATAAACAGCAAGCTGGTACCTGGTTTACCATAGCACTTGATGTGGCTTTACTTGTATTCATTTGTTAACCACTGGGACCACTTTTAACACTACAGAACTTATATTTCTTTGTGCATGCATACTTATGGTCTCTTTTATGCTATTAAATTGATTAAAAAGATGCTCTTTTTATTTAAACAAAGAAGAATAAAAATGTTGAAGTCAAATATTTGTTTACACAATGTATGGTGCGGCATTTCATTGTGACACAAGACTATATCTCTTGTAAATTGTACAGAGAAATAATTGGTATAGGATTATGAATAGCTTTCTTTGGTTATTGAAATATATATTTTGTACTGTAACATCAATATGGTTGTTATTAATCTTAACATAACCACCCTTCCTTGATCAAGAAATATGTTATCTTTTTGCATTACCATAGAATTAAATATGTTTGTGATCAATCCTAGGCTACATTGTGCGAAACTTGCATTGCTCCTATGATTTTGTGAATATTCATACATTCGGTTTTGTTTAGCAAATTGACTTTGATCTATAACTTAGTGATTTCTCATTTGGCATGTCAATTCTTAGCTATCACTATACGTGGTGGCATTTGTGAGAAAGAATAATACTAATCTTAAGCACTAGCACATGTAACTTAGTTTAAGAGCACTAACAACTTTGTTTTGTCTTTAAAATACACTGCTGTCTTCATTGACATAGAGCATTAAATACAGCTTATCTGTTAACCGTAGCTGGATTTATATATAAACTATGTATTGATATCTCTTAATTAGTTGATACACATGGACAGCCTTATTTTGCAAATTACTTGTACTAGAATACTTTCATCTCAACCATTGGTACCTAGGCTGCAATTCCCAAGAATCTTGCTCTTTCAGAAGATAATGCTGACAGAAATACTTAGATCCTTCTGTGCTTAAAGATAAGCACAAGGAAATGAGGACTCTCAATTATAAAGGGGAGATAGGGAATTGAGTATGATTTGCCTCCAAGCAAGAGAATCGAATCAAGTAGTAAACAAATCATCTAGTAGAGCTCTTATAGAGGAAAAGGACAAGAGGTGATGCCCTCATGTTAAGGCACTTGACTTCAAGTCCCTTATTGCATCCGCCATCCCTTCTCTTATTGTTAGATTTAATGATTTTTTGGAGTTAAGTGTGCCAACAAGGCCTTGGGAATGGAAGCTTCATATGGCTCTCATCATTTGAAGCCTTATCCACCGTACCCTCCTTCAAACAATCCCCTAATTTCCAAACACATCACTTCCATGCATGCACTTGAAAGTAGTCCCATACTGTTATGATGATCAATTGGCATGAAACCAATATAAAGGCCTCATGACCCTATAAATTGCATGCTCATACACACATTCCATAAAGCATGGAGGACCCCTACCATTCCTAGGATTTTGAATAAAACCATCATCAATTAAAGAGGTGATTTGAGGTTAATGATGGTATTTTCTTCACATCTTTTGATATTATCTTCATGGTGCTAAAAGTGAAGCGGCCGTAGATTGCAATTAAAGTGTTTGCCTCGCATGTCGGTACTGAGGAATGCCCCTTGTCTAAGGCTACAATTTCTGGCTTAAGGACTAGTTATATTAGGCTATGGATTGGATTTGCTTGATTGTTTTTTAACTTAAAGGTAATTATACCATGAGACGGGTCACATGCTCCTTGGCATGCTTCCTTTATTTTATGCATGGGAAGAGCACAACAGGTACTGGAGACTGCGAAAGGAAACCACCCCAACCACATGGCTTTCTTTGGGGACCATCAACACAAGAAACACACAATACACATCTATAGCTCTATGGGGACTTAAAAGAGATCCCTAAAAAAGGGTTTCTCACAATAAATAACTAAGTAAATAAATAAATAAAAAGAAAAAGCATGGCTCTTTCATAATCCCCCTATTACACTTGTAAACCCCAACAAGCATAAAGGTGGTATGCACCAACATATGCATGTTGTGTTACGACATTCTAACTTGGGTCTTTGGAAGAAGGCAGGGATACTCACGGAGGGAGGAGCTAGTTCCTTGTTGTGAAGGGACGTTCCTTTGTTTGCTTCACACTAGAGGAAATGATTCTCATGCTAATGTCC